CCCCCCCCCCCCCCCCCGCTCCATCCGGGTGTGCGCCTTGTAATGCTGTGAACCGAGCGCCGCTAGTTGAAGTACGCATTGAAACTGGATGTAATTTTCTCGCCAATTGATAATTGCGGCTTGCTTTATGTGATAGAGCATTGAATTCTATGAAACGGAAATAATATTTGGTTCATATTTCCATCAGCTCGTCCGACTCATGTTATAAAAATAGGCAACAAAAAGAACAGGATACAGAGCGTCAGTCAGCAAAATGCCAGGTTAAATTGCTGAAATTCACAAGAGTTCATTGGTGCATGCAAGGCATTTTTCAAAACATGACCCATCTGTCTAAAACTATCAACGCCATTTATAGAACAACAATACTGTATTGGAAAAATTTTTATAATTGTAAGGAATTTAATGCATTGATCAAACAGTTTTTACTGATTTCAGTTAAGACTAACGACACTGTAAAGACCTAAAAAGATTTACTTAAAAACCAATGAAAAAACGAAACGATTATTGAATTGCTTAGATTAAAAAATGGGTAACTAATGATATCAGAAATTCCGTTTGAAATTTAGCCCACTTATTTTTTAAGAAGCTCAACCTAACGGCAATTTTACTGATGTATGTATCAAAGATAAGCGCCTTGAAATAAAACTGAACGTTTCGCAAGGGTGAGTGAAAGAGAACATGCCTTTTATCTTCTTGTGACGTTCCTAACATGAACGGGAAATATTAATAATTATCGGGTTATGTGAAGAAACAGTTCTCCTGTTTCACTGGCTTTCAAGAGTCGTCTTTCAAGTGAAGTAGTTTCCTCAGACAGGAAACGATTTTCTCCATTTTCTCTCCCCTCACCTCACCCTAAAAGTCACTATAGATGGACAAAGATTAGAGCCACGAGGTGTGTTGACAAGAGGTTGCTTTGAAATGAAATCAGGCTGTAATTTCGTAGGCAATTTCTTCGAACTTGTTGTCCGTCGATCTGTTGTTTCACACTAGGAGTAACCAAAAAAATAATAAATGAAAGACTGAATAAGTTTCATCTTAGACAAAGACAAAGGGCACAGTTAGCTCTGAACGCTAAGAGACAAAGTAGATTATAGTGATATTTCGATCAACCGGGACATCGACAAGGTTGGGCAGCGTGGTAAAACCAGCGTAACTTCAAATGACCGAAGTAAAGGAGATTTTGGCCTTTTAGGGTCTGTCTGAAAAGTCTGTTTCCACGCCTTGGTGCAAAAGAGCTTAAGAGGGTCACCACCAAAGAACTGTTAATTCAGTCTGTGATAATGCTATCGCAAGGAATGAAATGAAATACCATCCTTTATTAATTTGGATTAAAGGCTCGTTTTCTATTCATTGCGGTAGATCGTCGACACGACTAAAGCGTGCGATCACGGAAACGAGTTTCTGTTTAATCGCTATCTTGCCACTCCACTATCTTTTCACGATCTTTTTAAGTCGTCCACCCTTTTCCCTAGTTTCCGGTTTAAAATGTAAATTTTTCTTTGATTGGGGCTAAATGAACTTAGCGCGGCAGCAGCACGGCAGTGACAAAAGACGCAAAAGAAAGGGTACTGTTTTAATATAGCTTTCATATGACAGTCACGCCCTACGACCTATGAGACTGAAACGTTCGGTACCACATTGTTCGACACAATGGGTAGCAGGTAGCACTGTCTATAAGAGACAACAGTAAAAATAAACCCACCATAAGATTTCACCCCGACTTAGAGGCAGGACACCCCTTCAAGCTATTCTGAAACACCGTAACCGGCCGGGGTATAGCTGGAAAATACAAGAGAAAACTGCTTCTCGACGCTTTCTTGAGACCACAGAACGTATGCCCTCACGCAAGCTTGACCTCGAAAACGGCATAGTAAAAAAAAAAAAAAACAATGACAGAGAAAACGTAACCTGGATGAATAACGCTGAGGCGACTATAAAATACATGTTAAGTTCTTTACTGTTTGCTTTTTCATTTGTTGTTATTCAAACAAGATGTTTTAATGAAGATATAAAGATCTAGAGGTTCCGCCAAACACGTTCCAGTAATAGAAAACACATTAAAAAGTGCTCCTTTAAGGTCGGTATAGTTAATTTACTCCAATTATCCTATAATTTACCGAAGCCCCCTACACCAAACCAAACTAACGTCATGTGTGTATAATTATTCGTAATGACCGACGGGTCTTGGTGATATCTTTAAAGTTATTTCATAAACAAACGATGGAATCACAAAACATATCCAGTCTCTATACAACCATTTGGTGGCTTAGTTAATATAAATGCCAAAAAGTGAAGGTAATCTATTTATGTTTGAGTCAGTGTTGAGTCGATCCTTTGCCAAAACGCCGGCAATTTCAAAAAGAAGTTTGCGTGAAGTTAAAAATAATTTTAACGTACCGACTTTCTGGTTAAAAAACTTTTACAAACCACAACTATTTAGCTCTAAAATAGATAAAACTGTATAAAGACCCTTGTTCTATTTGTACATAGGGACAGAGCCTTTATCTACCCATTGACTAGTAAAAGAGTCAATGGGTAGATAAAGGCTCTGTCCCTATCAACTTTTAATGCTCATCATATTATAGGGTGCGCACCAATATTTCGCAAGCTAGCTATGACATCCATCTTTTTCGATTTTCCATCGAGAAACACTAAAAGGCGTTCTTTCCTTTCCACCCCTCCCCCCCTCCATAACAACGTTAGGGAGCTTAAGCAACAGCGACGGCCACGGCTACAAAAACGTCACTTAAAAAGTGAATTTGCACCGCTTCAAACTTTATCGCGCTTATTCCATCTCGTTTACTTCGTCAAATGTTGGCAAATGTTTTTGGAGTTGAATTCTAAAGGACTGTATCAAAGTTCAGGAAAAGGAATGAAAGTTGTTGTCTTGTGTTCCCGTCCTCGACAAAACTTGAATTCAGGCACTTTCACGTTGTAGTCGGGCAATGACGGCAAAGAAATGTACAAAAAAAGCGTGATGCACGTGCAAAGTTGTTGTTTTGCTAATCAAACCTATTGCTTTTTTGCCGTTCTCGTTGCCGTCCGCGTCGTCATTGCTTAAGCTTCCTAACAACAGCTCACAAAAACCCCATCATTGCAGTGTACACATGGTTGCAAGATGGTGGTGCGAAGTACTCTTATCTCATTTTTGGTTAGAAGCCTTTGTATTGCAAGTTGCTGCAAAAGCTTAATATATACCCCTCTTTCCCGCGCCTCGTATGTGTAAGTAGCCAAGAACACCTATTTAACTTCTCCCATATGGGCAAGAACACCGACATATCTGATTTTTGAATCAGCAATGCACTGCAGCAGTCAAAGACCCGCGAATTGTAAATAAATGATAGATAGATAAGCTTACACAATAACACAATCGATTCCAGCTCAAACGGAGAGATAAACTTTCTTAATTGCAAACAGGCTTATGTC